TTACTATCTGATAAATGCTGAGAAATTAATACACAAGTTGATGGTTTAAATTACCATTTAGTTGTGTGTTACTAGAAACATGTCATACATCATACCAGTGGTACTGATGTTCATAACTAATGGTATCAGCACTGGTTAGTAGACGATTTGTTGTTACATTTAATACTATTTAATCTACAGTTTGGTATATCAAGTGTAATGCAACTTTAGCTATAATTTTAGCATATTCAGTTATTATTAAGTTACAAAATGGGCTAAAAAAATTGTATTATTACATAAATATAATCTAAGAATTAGTTATCTGTCATTTCTCATTTTAAAGATAAACTTAAGTATATTAGCAAGATGATAAGGTAGTGATAAAAGTGTCATATATTGAATTAACATTAGGCTTAACAGTGTTGTCAATATGTTATATTTATTTACTGTTAATTATTTATTCCCAGACTACAATGGTTAAGTGCAATGTAAGTGTTAAGTGCTCACAGTTTATTAGGTGTGATAGGTGCAAAGAGTGGGTTTTATTTGGGAATTCATGACTAACATGCACATTTAAGGAAGATAGTAATGACATTGTATAAATTTTATGTAAAGTTTATATTTAGATAAGAAACTGGAGGCTGCTCTAAATAGGGTAGAGGCTAGGGATAAAAGGAAGGCTGATATAATGGGAATAACTGAAACCTGGCTAAATGTAGACAATTTTAATAAAAGGAATTTCCTTGAAATACAGGGTTATTGACTGTTTAATACAAACAGTAGACTGAAAAAAAGGAAAGGAGATGCTTTATATGTATATTGTGAGTCATAGCTTTTTTAAGTTGAGGAAATCAAGGCTAATGGCAGTGAGGTTATACGCAGAGAAGGCTTTTAGTTGAAACTTATTATAAACCACCAGAAAAAACTGATGAAATTAATGAGAAACTCTGCAGTTAGATAAAGAATTCAACTGTTAATGAGGTTATGATTATGGGAGATTTTAATTTTAGGCATATAGACTATGAATTGTTAGAGTCAAGTTATCAATAAGATAGATTGTTAGAAACTTTTTAGGATAGTTTTCTTCAACAACTGGTTGGGAAATCTACTAGAAACAATGGTATTTCAGATTTATTGTTAACTTCTAGTAAAGAAATGGTTGATAAGGTAGAGACTGGGGAACATCTGGCTACAAGTGATTATTGCTTAATTAGATTTGATGTTTTGCTACATGTGGAGATAAGACATAATGAGATTTTGGTTCCAAATTAAAAAACAAAATTCTGAAGGGATGAGACAAGAATTATCTGCTTTGAAGTGAGAAACTGAAATAGTTGGAGATACAGATCAAATGTTCCCCATATTTTAGAAATAAATTCTTAAATATTTAAGATATATATTTTTCTTATCGAGAAAAAAAAAGGTAGCTGCAAGTAGAGAAAAAAAAAAGGTTGTCTCATGAAAGGTATAAAGGATAAAGTTGAAGAAAAGCATTATAAATATAAGAAGTTTAAACTTACTGCAATGATAGGAGGTTTGGAGGATTATACAAGTCAAGATAGTTTGTAAAATGAGAAATTATGAAATGAAAACAAGTATGTGAAAAAAGGTTGGCTGAAGATCTAAAAAATAATTGTAAAAATTTCTTCAAATACATTAATGGTAAGCAAAATGTTAGCATGGGAGTTGAGCCTTCAAAGGATGATACAGTAATGTTAATATCTGATGAGTATTGGAAGGTTGGGTTATTAAATCATACTTTTTCTTCAGTTTTTACTAATATAGATTTAAACAATATTCCTCATCTTGAACAGTTGCTAGATGGAAAAAAAGATGATCGCATTAATTCTGAGCTTGTTCAGAAAATTGTCCCAGTAATTATATTCTGATAAGCCTTACATCAGTGGTGGGAAAAGATATTTAAAGGCTAATAAAAGATGCTTTATAAAGTTATTTACCAAAGTTTAAAATTTTGTTGGATAGTCAGCATGGTTTCACTGGGGGAAAATTTTGCTTTACTACTCTTTTGACATTCTTTGAAGACATTATTGTCTATGTACATTAGATGTATTTGAATTTTCTAAAAGGTAAGGTAAGGTTATGGTAAGGTACCACATAAAAGAGCTGTTAAAAAAGTTATCTACATAAGTGTGGGGAATAGGTTGGTTCATTGGATAGAAAACTGGCTAGATGGAAGAAAGCAAAGGGTTGTTATAAATGGAGTTCACTCAAACTGGATTAATGTTACAAGTGTTATATCTCAGGGCTCAATGCTAGGACCTTTGTTCTTTTTGATTTACATCAATGATATAAATGAAAAAACGGCCAAAAGTTTATTTAAATTTGCTGACGATTTGTTGCTGGCTTGAGGAGGATGCTACTGCTTTACAAAGGATTTGGATTATTTGGCGAGATAAGTGAATACATAGCAAGGTAATGCACATGAGATATCAGAATTTGAATCATAAGTATAATTTTAAATGGAATAACTTTAACAGTGTTTATGGAAGAAAATGTTCTTGGTGTTCTGGTTCATCAGTCTCTTAAGCCATCCAAGCAATGTGCTGTTGCTAGTGTCAGGGAAAATAGGACTTTATGTTGTATATACAGAAATATTGAATATATATGTCTAAAGAGGTGATAATGTTATTGAATATATCATTGGTCAGACCCCATTTAGAGTACTGTGTTCAGTTTTGAGCTCCTTACCTTAGAAAGGGTATTGAATTGTTGGAAAGAGTTCACTAGGAAGGCTACTAGTATGATACCTGGGATAAAAATGTTATCATACGAGAATAGGTTAAGACCTCTAAACTTGTTTTCTTTTGACAAAAGAAGAGTTAGAGGAGATCTGATTGAGATGTTTAAGATTGTTAAGGGAATTGATAGAGTTGACACAATTTTTTTCATATTTAATGGTGAGAATGATAAAACTAGGAAACACATGTATAAATTTAGGCAGGATAGGAGTCATCTTCAGCTCAGACAACTTTATTTTTCTAACAGAGCGGTGGTCCTTTAGAATGGGTTGCCTTCAGATGTGGAAGAAGCAGTTAATTTAGGAGAGTTTAAGGAAATGCTTGATATATTTTGAGTTTTCAGTATTTAGTTTAATTAAGTGGATAGACTGGCCTAGATGAAACAATAGCTCCTTTTTGTCTTTTAATGCTATATATTATTCCATGTATACATTTTTACACTTAATAAGTGATCATTTGTAAAAAATAGTCTGTGCATAACAGTTTTGCTCAGTTAATTCAAATATTTACAAAAGTTTCCACATGTTCATAAAGTGAAGACTGGAAGACTAATGATAACTTATTGTTTATTGCATATACTTCTGTTTTTAGAAATATCACAACAGCAAATATGAATTCCTGTATATCCAGTGTAAATCCACAAAAAATGAGTGGGCAAATATTAAAGTCGTGTAAAAAAGAAAATCTTAATATACTTTACCTGTATTAGTTTTAAGATAGAAAATTAAGAAAATATATATTTAAATGACACACCTTACTTAATTATTATTTTCACTGCTTCAATTTCAAGAAAAGAAATAAAGAATGTCTACATATTGATTGATATGTTTGCTATTACAATTATTACAGCAGTAGAATTTCTAATGTAACACAAAGACTCATACTTAAATACATACAATTAACTGGTTAAAAACCCTAACATGGTAAAATAATACAAATTTTAAACACTAAAGAACTTAGGTCTCCTTCAATTTTCACAACATACTGTGCACAATTCTTGATTAAGATCAACAGAATTCACTTATTACATCAATCTAATTATGTATGTTAGTTTTTACAGGTTTCAAATTTATCTTGTTTTTTCAAAATCTTAACTGTTAAAAGAATATCATACTTTGTACTCATTCTGTATTGGAACCTGTTGATGCCACATGAAGGTATCATCTGCACTGTTTAAACATTTAGTACTTGACTGAGAAGACTAGAGATAACACTGGTTGAAATATTTGTTTTTAGCATAACATAAATATAGTTGACATGTTTCTTTTTAAAGATTTTGCTTAATGCAATAATAAAGTAAATTTCCTCTGCATGGGCACAGATAGTGGTGTTTGAAGGGGTACTGATCCCATTAATACATATGCCTTAAAACAGTGTTAGTAAAAGTAACACACCTTAACTGTCTTATCAAAATATGCAAGTTTACATGCTCATTTATAACTAATATGTGTTTAAAATATAAAATTACTGAATATTCCTCATTAGACTAAAAAATATATTGAATGAACAAATTAATAAACCACAAAATACACCATTACACTGCAGTAGAACATACATTTGGATCAGATAAAAAACAAAACAAAATCACTTTTCAAAAGTGGGCTTTCCAAAACCTCTTGGATTATTGCAGTTCTTTTTATTTTATTTTTTGACTAAAACTCTTTTTCTATTGATTCTTCACGCTTTTGAATATCATAATACAACATACATCTTTGGCAGTGAAATGAAGATACTGAAGTTACTGTGGGATAAATCAACTATAAGTTAAACAAATATCTAATTTGCAAGGTTAGCTTTTATTAATATTAATTTAATATCTACGACTAACAAAGGTCTTACAATTTTAATTTAGCCTTAACTAACTAATTAATTCAAAAAGTATGGTACTACTACTACTACACGTACCACAGTACATTATAAAAACGCTAAAATTAAAACTAAAACTCAAAGAAAAATATATAAACTAATAATGTAATAAAAGTAAACTGAACTACATCATGCATGTAGGCCTAAACAATAATTTTAATAATACTAGTATGATTCACGTTTCAACGTTACGAATGTAGTCTAGCTTAGTTATAAGTAATTATATTATTATTAATAATAACGAGACGAACCTAACCTACACACACATGTATCATTAGTACTCGCAGTAATATACATTATCGTTACTTGTACTAATGATTATACTGTATACACTAACACTAACACTGGCAAGGCATACATTTGCATTAATTTCCAACTTCTAAATGCTTAATTCACCTCATAAAACGAGGAATGAAATTGTTCGTGCCCAATTCCACTTGGTAATCTAGCTAAAACACATTGTCTTCCAGGTATCCAACTGTTTGTATTACACTCTTTTGCATCACATACTTCCCGACCTGTTTCGGTCGCCATTTTGTCTTAATATAGCACAATGACCCTTACCATTGGTCCACTAATAATGATTGACATTTTCTTGGACCAACCAATCATTCTCCTATTATTATACTTTGAGTTCACTATCTAAATAAACAGTGCAATTCTTGATTCGAATGCCGCGAGAACACGTAAATAACGTGCACATCGAATCCCAACATGTTTCTTCATAGCAGATCAAATTATAGTTAGATGTCTCTCGTATATGTTTACACGTTCTTTTACCTGTCGGTGTATTTTTGTTTGCTTACAACAAACTATTAGTTTGTTTTGAAAAAAACACATTTTACAGAATATACAGATAAGCTTATAACTAGCTCTATCTGTTTGGTATTAGTAAAATATAATTATCTGTATTGTAACGTATCTGCAACGATGTTATTACAATTTTAGATACCTAACTACACATAGGTATCAAAATGCGTGAACGCGAGTTGGCCCTATTTTTTAGAGCGCTTGATTTCACAGCTGGCAAGAGGCATCGAATACATGCCATACCACATTAAAAACATCCTACACTTTATACTGGGGTGCACTATAAAACTTAAAAGTAATGTCGATAATAGGTGATATGGTACAACCGTCTCCTTCTGATCAGTAGTTTAAAATTACGAACGGCGGTAGATATGCTAAAGACAGGTATGTAGCCATGGTGTAGGCTAGGGTGGTTATAACAGTAGTATTTTGAGTGTTCCAGCCATTAGAAGCGGGGGTGCGGGAGAGCAGCCCGTCTCCCGGAAGCTTTATGGTCTGAGTTGGCCTGAGATACATTCCTAGTTCTTTAAGACTATTTTCAATGCAAATAAGAATATAATAATACTAAATCTAATCGATTTAGACCTTACTTTTTAAAAGGAAATCGTGGAAATCCTAGATACACTAAATGTGATATATTTTTGTTTTGCTAAAGAAAAAAGAATAAATACAACTGAAAATCATAAGTCAGTTGGAACATATGACTAATAAAATTAGATTTTTGTCACTTTTAACATATTTTTTATAGAGGGTTTATATCTTTCATTCATAATTCTATACAGTGTCATTATTTTTTATTTAAATTTTCCCCAAATATTGTACAACTTTACTACAAATGATGGAATATTAAAATTAGTTTCTTAAACATTGTTACGTCTCCGTTCGTTAGTTAATTTTCCGTAAATTCGTTCCGACGAAACTTTAGCGACACAAGTCCTT